TAGTTCCACCTGGAGTAAATCCACAAGCTACCCTGCAGTATAAAAAGTCATGAACACTAGCTGCACCTTTAGCAGCTTTGAGAACACTTTAATGATCAATAATTACAAAACACATCATATATATTATTCTGAAATGGACCAATTTGAATAATGAGTAGTTTTTCTTTTGGTACTTTAAAGTGGACCTATCATGCTATATTTGAACAATATATTGTAGGGCCATATCTATATAAAACATGTCTGTGAAGTTTATACCAAACAGATCATGCATTTTAGCCATGCCTCATTTAGCTCTATTTGCTCTATTCCAGCCCTGTCTTCACAAGGGCTGATTCTATTCCAAATGAGCTGCAGCTGACCACGCCCCCCTGCAAAGGAGGGGGACGAGGCACGAGCATCATGTTACCATGCTGTTACCATGCTGTTACCATGCCACGCAACCTCTCATTCCCCTGATAGGTGGAGAGTTGCCCATATAGGCGGAGCTCCTTGTTTCTGACGTCAGAGATAATTCAAATCTTTATCAGTCTGTATCAGATCCGTTGCAGCCCCGTTTTTAGAGATTTGGGTACGGAGGAAAAGAGAGAGGGGTGTGTTTTCTGAAACTTGGTGAGTTCCCTGACACACCGGGGACACATATTCATGTATAAAAGATGTACAAAAGTGCATTTTGCATGATAGGTCCCCTTCAAGTATATTTTGTACTTTTACTTTAGTAACATTTAGATTGCAGGACTTTTACTTTTAAAAGAGTATTCCTACACTCTGGTACAGAAGTACAATATCTTAGTATTTCTTCCACCTGATAGCCAGTATAAAAAGCCAACAACAGAAAGATGGCTCCAAAAAACGTGTCCTTACAACCCTTTTTAGACATCAACATTTAAAAGACAGAAACAGATGAAGTCTTTTGATAAGATCTTAAAGACTAAAACAATAGTTGAGTTGCATTCAGCTCCCTTGCTCTTCCTGTGTGTTCCTGCAGACATGGCCCAGTGTCTGAGCTGTGACCCAGACACAGAATGGTCTCCTGAGGGCACCTCCAGCTGCCTCCCTAAGGACCGGCTCTTCTTCTCCTGGCAGGACCCCTTTGCCATGGTTCTCCTGACCTTCTCTGCCCTGGGCGTCGTCCTGAATCTGCTGGTGTCCGCTCTGTTTCTACAACAGCAGGACACTCCTGTAGTGAAGGCTGCCGGTGGGCCACTGAGCCAGGTCATCCTGTTCTCTCTCGTCATCAGTGACATCAGTGCCATGCTGTTTGTCGGCCGGCCCAACAGTCTCCAGTGTAAGGCTCGACAGGTGCTGTTTGGCGTCAGCTTCACTCTGTGTGTGTCCTGCATCCTGGTGAAGACGCTGCACATCCTGCTCGCCTTCCAGTTCAACCCCAAGCTGCACGAGGTTCTGCGGGGGCTGTACAAGCCGTACATCATCGTCGCCATCTGTGTGAGCTTACAAGCAGCTACCTGCATCTGCTGGCTGGTCCTCAAAAGCCCATATAACCACATCGTCAATAATCCAACCACTCTGCTGGAGGCCTGTCACGAGGGCTCGTATTTGGCCTTTGGGGTGATGTTGGGCTACATAGCTGTCTTGGCGTTCGTGTGTTTCATCTGCGCCTTCAAAGGTCGCAAACTGCCACACCTGTACAACGAGGCCAAGTTCATCACCTTCAGCATGCTGCTCTACCTCATCTCCTGGCTGCTCTTTGTCCCCGTCTACATCACCACTTCAGGAGTCTACCTGCCGGCTGTGGAGATGGTGGTCATCCTCATCTGCAACTATGGCATCCTCTGCTGTCATTTCTTCCCAAAGTGCTACATTATTCTTTTTAAGAAGGAACAGAACACAAATACTGCTTTTAGGAAGAAACTATATGAGTACTCCAATAAAACCACAGATGTTGTCTCTGTGTCTGTGGTGACAAACTGCAGAGAAGGGGTTACTTGCCTAAGTCTGCACAGAGTGTCAATCACAGGACACTGCCGCGAAAGAAGCAACAGCATATAAACTGTCCTAATGGGTTTTCAGAAATAGTTTTATTGAATTGTATTATTTACAAGTTGTATCATAAAGTTTACATATTTAAATACTTTATATAATATAATAATTTGTATATGTTTGTTAATATAATTTATTTGCAAAAGCATTTATGTAAAACAGGTCACACCGTTTCTTATTACAGTTAGTTGAATACCCAATTCTAATTTGTCAATCGGGACATTCAATAGGTCTGCTAATTTTTGCTAGTAGACCGTTGCTAAGGATAGCAGACCGTTGCTAAGGAGGACGCTCTGATCAAGGGACTACAGTATGTGCAGTCATATCATTCCGTAGAAAGTAGTCTGGTCAATTTAACATCAGCTGTGTACAACAAACATTTGTTTTCATCAATCAGAAAACCTGTGGAATACTTTTTTAATATTCATTGTTAGATTTGTGGAGAACACAAAACCACCATCACCAATCAACAATAGCATGTGTATTCATATATCATACTTGATGTCTGCAAACCTTTTTTACACATATTGGTGCACATTGTAGCTTAAACCACAAATATCAACAAAAGAGGCAAAGTCAAAACAAGGTTCATTATAATTATTTACGGCCAATAGATGCACTGCAGTTTTTGTGGCACTTCCTTATTGGCCTCCCGGCTCTGCCCCAGAGTTTGCCGCTTGGTGTGACTGTGAATGCAAAGCGAACCTTCTGAAAAATGAAACAATGTAACAAACTGTGGTCTGGTGCGCACCAGAGAAGTGGACTATTAGGTGTGAATGCACCCTACACAAGTCATGTACTACGCCACTGAACATACTTACATTTAAATGTGTACTGCACGGATTCAGCCATTTTCAGCCAAAGATTTTGGAAATTGGTCCGTGCGCAAAGCATTGTGGGTCATTTAAGACCACCGAGGATACACATGAGCAGCCTTGAAATGTTCTGCAACGAAGGATTCAGTCCTCGGTAGAATTCCAAGGATCCTGTACATTGGAACAGTCCTTCAGCGGAATTCGATAACGTAGCATCCTTGAAATAGTGGCTCGGAAGGATCCTTCCTTGACATTGAGAAGCAGCCAGGAAGTAAACACTAGGGAACAGAAGAGGAAGACAGACAGGAAGTAAACACTAAAAGGGAACAGCAGAAGAAGAGAGACATTATCAAGTGGGTCCTAAAATGTGAGCAGACTTTGACAGTCACAGAAAACCTCGATCAGTGCTGCTATCATTTTAAGTACGTTGCTGTCGCTGCAGTTCCAGCCGTTGGTACAGTGGAATTGACAAAAAACATTTCAGTGGAAGCAATCAGATAATTATTTTAAGAAATAAAATAATTGTAATGAAGCTCAGCGCAAGTTCTTTCAGGAAGACTGGGTATATATTAATTCACTCCGCAGCTGCATATAATCAACTCATCACGGGCGTTCTCTTTAACCTATTACATTTCACCTCAATCTCCAGCAGCCAATCACCGTGCTGCAGTCAAACTTTAAAATCCTTCTCCTCTCTCCTGCAGTCAGCTGTGATTTCAGGTTTTCATGCTGCCGCCTGCCGCCTGCCTCCTCCCCATCCACCTCCTCTCATCATGTCCAGTGCCCAGGAGAGCTAATCCAAAGACCTCATCACACCTCATCAAATCCAAAACTTCAACATCACCACCAGTGTCTAGACCCGGGGTGGGGGGTTCCTATATGCTCACAGCTGCATTTCCCCCTTTAGATATACGATTTCAGGATTGGGGTCTAATCGCCAAAGACTTTTAAAATGTATCATATGGCGCATGAGTCAATAAATGTTCTTTAAACAAAAAATGAAGTTTCTCATCTCGTTTGATGAAGATAACTGTGGTTAGACAGGTTGAACAGTCTCATGATAATTCATCAAGTTAGCACTGAAATCAACACAAAATAAAAACATAGGAAGGAAGGGGGGGGGCATCATAACCTGGGGACATTCCAGTTTTGCTTACAGTTTGAGTGGGTGAATATCCTTGCTCTTTTAGTGGATGTGTGAATGAGGGAAGGACAGCAGTCTTGTGGGAACTGGAGATCTGAAATGACACAGGGTCTGAACTTGTTGCACCAAAAAGCCCCCCCCCCCTCCAGACCAGATTCCAATGACTGAAAAACAGCACAACAGAAACTCGAGGAATGTAAACCTCATCCTGCTCCGAGGCTTACGCTGTAACGGGATATAAGTGAGCTGACATTCCAGAATTGTGTAATCTATTGTCACTGATGCTCAGGGATAAGTTCAACAATGAGAACAGTACGGCACAGGTTAAATGCTTATGGCAGGGGTTTCCAAGCTTTTCTATTTGCATCTGTGTGATTTGTTTAAATAAAGTATTTGTATAAAACATGGCTGTGATGAAAGTCGTCACTGTTTGTGGACAGCACATGGTCAAAAATACACTCAGTACAAATCTCTGGCCACTGACTATTGAGTCTGAGGCTGGCTGTAAACCAAACAGGTGAACAGAAAAACCTTACATCTTTTAAAACGTTATATATATACGTATATATATTTTTATTTTTCTCAGAACAAGCATTTTTCACAATTATTTTCTAAGTAGAAGAACTTAATCTCATTTTTTTACCCGCAGTTTTTTATAAAGTTTGGTAAAAATGCAGTCATCAAGAAATTCTCACCTGTTTCTTACATTCAAATATTACGAAGAGTAAAAGTGCTCATTAATGAATGCCAGTTGTTATGGTGAGGTCTTTTTTTCCTTTATTACTGCTGGAGCATGATGTCAAAAGGAAGCAAAGGAAATGGATTTAGCGAAGCGAACGGCACCAAGGTCAAAGTGAGTGCAGCATGAGAAGATAAGCTAATCAAAAGCTATTCCACTACCCAGCATGCCCCTGGCTGGTGTACAGTTGCAGGGAAAGAAGAAAGATGCAGTATGATCCACTGTGAGTGTTGTGCCCACATCTTCCTTTGTTTACATCAATGTGTATAAGCAGGGGCGGGAGTAATAACATTTGAGTTGGGGCGAAGAAAAAACCCACATTAAGTGACAAAAATACTAAATAACTTGTACATTGCAGGGCTCAAATGTTTGTTAATGTATTGTACCTAGGGGACATTTTGACTGTTCTGCTGGGCATGTAATGAAACATGGCAAAACACATAGTAGTACATAATATCATTTCCTAGAATCAGATGTAGAATTGAGTTTGAGTTTCGGAGGAGTACTCCCTCCTCTACTCTTTTTTAGACAAAGTCTGATAACAACAGAACTACCAATACCTTTAACAAAGAAAAAGAGGAATGCCTATTCCCGCACACAGTCACTTTTAGAATTAGTCAAAAGTCAAATGTGAACAGTCACAGAAAACCTTGATCAGTGCTGCCGTGTTTCGTTGCGGTTTCGTTGCTGCAGTTCCAGCCGCTGGTAGCCGACTATTTTTTTCTCAGCGAAAGCAAGAAGAAATAATAATACAATCATTTTAATTTCATTAACAGAAAAAAATACCAATGACAGGGTGATCATGGTCTAGAGTTGCCCTTAAATGTCATTTTGATGGAGACAAAACATCATAATTTATTTAAGTGCCTCATACACGACTACACAACTATTTCAAACAATGGAATCGTTGATGAAGATAACTGTGGTTAGACAGGTTGAACAGTCTCATGATAATTCATCGAGTTGCATCCACACTGGAAATCCCCAGCACTGAACTCAACACAAAATAAAAACATAAGAAGTGGGGGTGGGGGGGCATCATACATTTAGATGGGCATTCCAGTTTCTAAGACTAAAGTGATGTTTTACATCCCCTTCATTAGAGGACACTGACCTAGATGCAATTCTTAAATATGTGCATGATTAGTACACTTCATCCAGCATTTCTCTCTTATTTGCAGCTACAAGTTGCCTTGTGTCATAATATTTTTCATATTCTTATAAGTGGGTAGGTGGCAGCGATCGTTCCCTTTTGTGCATTAAATGAGTAAAATGACACACCAAACTTCCCCCTTGTCTCATCAGAGCCTGAGGGTGGAAGCCTGGCTGAACAGAGACACTTGAGAACCGCTGTGGTATCCGTTATCTCTAGGGAGGGTTTCAGGTTCTGTCGAGCCAGCTAAAGAAAGGAAACCCTGGATCTGTAGATGTTTACCCGTCTTATAACACCATGCTCTGTCACGCTTTAACATTAGTCATATTCAACAAAATTGTTTATAGTTGCGTTGTTTACATGGTTGTCTAATCCAGCCTCTTAGTTTGGTGGTATTTCAGAAAAAACTTGAATGATAGAGACGCTTATTGGTTAAAGTCGGTAACCAAACTTTAACCATAATTTATATACGCTGAATCCAATAAACCCAAGCTTTATTTGGAGGCTTTGACGAAATGTATTGGATTGAGGATACCTAAATTATGTACACAAACGATTCTGTCTTTTCCCCAGTCTGGAACCCAGGTGTTGTCACCCTGACTCAGACTGCATCAATCTGGGTGTGACATTGGACGAGCAGCTGTCCGTTACTGCTAACATCGCTGCTTCAACCCGCTCCTGTAGATACACTATAATAACATGAGGAGGAACATCCAGAACGGACCCGGAGGTCCAGGCTCTTGTCCCATCCTACAACTAAAAAACCAACCTGGTACCTTGGACATTTAATTCAACACAAAAAATATAACTTAAAGAGATGAGCCCATTTGAAGCTAATGCACCAGCACTTAGAGTGGTTAGGCTTATTTGAAGCACATATATCTGGGGTTTTATGGATCATTGCACTCTGGGTGAAAAACGTCAGCTAAATTAATTGAAATGTAAAAACAAAACTATAGCTAACTAGTTAAAATGAAATTCATATGTATTCTGTATCATAGTCTTATTTATAACTGATCTATAGTGTATTCACTTTCTATACAGCTATGTATTATGTCTATACCTCCTTGTAGTGTTCATAGTATAAATACTTCAGTTGTTTATATCTGTTATATTATGCGAGACCACCACAGATCCCTGCACTTTACTACTTGTTTT